CAGCTGCAGCGGCAAGAACAGCTACAACAGCAGGAACAATTACAGCAACAACAGTTCCAACAGCAGCAGCTACTATTGCTGCAGCAGCAACAGTTACAGCAGCAGCAGCTCCTACAGCAGCAGCAGGCACAGTTACAGCAGCAGTTGCTACAGCAGCAACAGGCACAATTACAGCAGCAGCTATTGCTGCAGCAGCAGGAACAGTTACAGCACCAGCAACAACAGCAGGAACAGCTGCAACAGCAGCAGCTGCAGCCAGAGGAGGAGGAAGAGGTGGAGTTGGAGCTTATGCCGGTGGACCTGGGATCAGAGCAGGAACTGGAGCAACAGAGACAGGAGTTGGAGCGCCAGCAGGAGCTGGAGCGTCAGCAGGAGCAGCGACAACTGCAACTCAAACTGCAGGAGCAGTTGCAGCAGCTGGAGCAACAGCTAGAGCAGCAGCAGCAGTTGGAGCAGCAACAGCTAGAGCAGCAGGAAGTGCAACTAGAACTGACCCCTGTGGACCTGGGTGCCCAGCAGCAGGAGGTGCAGTTGGAACTGACTCCCGTGCAGCCAGAGCTGCAACTGGAGCTGGTGTCTGCTGCAGGTGGTGGTGGGGCAGCAGTCCCTGGGGCTCCAGCAGCAGTTGTGGTGGCTCCCCCAGGCTATGTGGTGCTGCAAGAGCTCATGGTGTTGCCTGCTGTGGCTGCACCGACTGTGGTGGCCATCCCAGGCCCGGCAGGTAGTGCGGCGCTGACACCCGCTCGGCAGCGGCGGCGACGGCGTGCCAGGGACCGGCCGACTATCTGCGGGGAGTGCGGCAAGGGCTTCAGCCGCAGCACGGATCTGGTGCGGCACCAGGCCACTCACACGGGCGAGCGGCCTCACCGCTGTGGCGAGTGCGGCAAGGGCTTCTCGCAGCACTCGAACCTGGTGACGCACCAGCGCATCCACACTGGTGAGAAGCCCTACGCCTGCTCCTACTGTGCCAAGCGCTTCAGCGAGAGCTCAGCCCTTGTGCAGCACCAGCGTACGCACACTGGAGAGCGACCCTACGCCTGCACCGACTGTGGCAAGCGCTTCAGTGTCTCCTCCAACCTGTTGCGCCACCGGCGGACACACTCGGGCGAGCGGCCCTACGTGTGCGAGGACTGCGGGGAGCGGTTCCGCCACAAGGTGCAGATCCGCCGCCATGAACGCCAGCTGCACGGCGCCGGCCGGTCGCGGGGCCTAGGCCTGCTGCGTGGCACACGACCCACGCCCTCGGAGCAGGCAGCTGGGGCTGCGGCGCCCTCAGACAAGGCCCCGTGAGGCTGGTGCGTTAGGCTAGAAAGGTCTGCCAGGCTGCCAGGCGGGGTGGGGCCAGCCAGGAAATGCGCGGTAGGGTTGGGGCAGGCACTCCTCCATCTGTGATACCCCTGCACCCTGGAAGCGCAGTGCTGAGTGGGACGCACACCTTGAACTCACCTCATGATCGCTGGAGACATCCTGGAATATCCTCAGAAAGAAAAGTCCTCCGTTGTCTTCTGGATTCCCTGAGAAGCACCGGGTTCATAGATTACCCCTCAGAAACCATCCACAAAAGAAAAGACGTCAGAGGCTGAAACAGCTACTGGAAAACTGTTTTGTTACTGAGTGCGGCTTGCTGAGAGGGTTGCCAGTTTTTGTTTTTGTTTATCCCTGAGTTCTTTTTCTCCCAGTAAAAACTGGACTTACTAGAAAGAAAAGTGATGAGAGGAACACCCAGTGACAATGGGTGACATTCGATGTGGAGCGAACACTAACTAGGGACTCAAATACATATTGTGAAATGGCACCTGGAAAACATTTGACTATGGTAAAAATCATTTCAAGGAGAAAAACGGAAACAAAGGAAACTCATCCATATTGTGTGAGAAACTGATCAAGGCATCGAATTATCCTCAGTGGCATTTGCTTTGAAAATACTTCTGAAATGAGAATTCATCAGGGTGACTACCATTCTGTTTAAAATCCTTGTGTTCATAAACCGAGGATTAGAGTGTCCACAGAGGTCAATGTACAGATAAATGCCAGGAAGCCCTGCTATGGACAGAAGGTAAAACCTTCCCTCCAGGAGAGCCTAGGGTTACTGGCAGTCATTGGAGGAAGGACCTAAGTGTCCCTGTTGCTGTGTCCCCAAGGCCACTGTGGCCTCTCAGTGTCCTCTTGAAAAAAGCTAATGGCTGAGGCAGAGAGCATTCTGGGGGTGCTCTCCAAGGTCTGGAAGAAAGGTCTCCCTAAAAAAAGTTCTGGGGTAACTATACTCTGGCCCTCTTGCAATGTACCAGCTCTAGGCTTCTTGGATGCTGCCCAGCACTAGCACCTTGAGACCCAGGGTCTGGGTTCCCTTGAATCAGGCTATGGAGGGGGCTGCACAGCCCGCTTGATGGCTGGGGTTGGGAGAAGGTTGTTGGAGATAGAGATGGAAAGCCACAGAAATAATTTTTACATATTTACCAAATGATCTTGGGGGATGGGGGGGCTGCAAGAACAGCAGCGATTGCTGACACCTTGCAGGTAGTGGGACTGTGGAGGTGGCCAAGAGCCCCTCTGGTCCTCAAGCACTTCCTGCTCCACCTGCCCTCCCACTGACTGCCTAGTTCCTTCCCTCTTCCCTCCATGCTTCTCCTTTACTAACACAGCCTGCCACGTTTTACAAATGTGGTGGTAAGTGAGAAACAAAAAATTAAAAATAAAGTGAAGAAATGCAGTGTCCTGTCTGTGTTTTGACCTCTGGACTTTGTGTCATGCCATGGCTTCATTTCTTAGGATAATTTTTCTGGTTGCTTTAGGGATGTATTATTTAGGCTTATTGCACAACGTTCCTCTCCCAGACCCTCCCTTCCAGCCTGAGACCCTGGACCAGAGAATGGACTTATTCAGTAAAACTCTCTTGGGGACCAGGGCCATCTCTGTTGCACGGTGGTTAAAATTTGGGCAAAGGAGGACCAGCAGATGATGTAATGGTTATGTTGCTGGACTCCCATATGGCTGATCATAGTTCCAGTCCCAGACCTGGAGGCTTGAAACTCACACCCCGTGCATGTGTGTACGTGTCCAAAATCCCAAGAGGAGAATGGAGAAGGAATTGCGACGTGGCCTTTCCCCCCTGGAGGCGGTGTGTGATTTCTCACTTTCTGTCTGTCTGTCTCTCTCTGTCTCTTCGGCAAGCATGTGCTCCTTATAGCAAAAAAAAATCTCTTAATAATAATCTAGGCAGAGGAAGCCATATCCCACATCACTGATCACAGTTCTAGTCCCACCCTACTAGCTTGAATAACACTTGCATGCTCAGGATCCTGAAGTGACCCTGTCCAGTGCACAGAGATAGGGTACCCCAGGCAAAGGGCCGTGGATTGAGAAAGGACAGATGAATAAAAGCGGGGATCAGGCAAATAAACACGGGGGTCAGGCAGACCAGCATCTCTGCTGGAGAACACCCTGGCCCCGAGCCATCCTGTGCTCATTCTTTTTTTTTTTTTTTTGGGAGAGATTTTCGCTATAGGGCGCGTGCGCTCGCCAGACAGACAGAGAGAGACATAGAGACAGAAAGCGAGAAATCACCCCCCAGGGGGGATGGTCACGCTGCAGTCTCTTCTCCTCCATTCTCCTCTCGGGATCTTGGGCACGCACGCACACGCGCCCGGCATGAGTTCTAAGCCACCGGGTCCAGGACACGAACCGCGGTCGACTACGTGGGAATCCAGCGACATAGCCATTACGCTAACTGCTGGTTCCCTCCTGTGCTCATTCTTGTATAGAGGAGGCAAAGCCTGGTGCTTCAGCTGTGGAGCACATCCTGGTTCTAAACAAGCCTCTCTGGCCTTCTCTGGCCAACACTCAGGTTTCTTTTCTGTAAAGCCCTGCAGTAAATTGTCGTTTTTTAGAGCTTTCACATGCTCTGAAGCGACAGCACAAAAACTGTGTCCGTGCACTGAAGGAATGGAGAATTGTAGGAAAAAAGGATTGCCACATGATCGGGCTGTGTTGGGGATACTCAGGTAGTCTCACTCTCTCTTTCTGTCTCCCTACTATCAAAGCAAAACAAAATAACTCATGGGGTGAATGGAAACCAGTGGAGTGCCCAGTTTGGGCATCTTGTAAGGACAAACTCTGGATCAGTTCAGTCCCACCGTAGCCTATAGGGCTGCCATGATGGTGAGTGACAAGTCTGCCACCTTGGGTGGCCCCTTAGAGAGGAGTCATAAGGCTGGAGGCCCCTGTTTGATTGTAACAGTGAACCAGCCAGTTGTTTCAAATCCCTTACTACCATTTTTGAGTCCCTCTCCCTCCCAGCTTTTGCCTCCAACAGCTTTTCTTTGCAGGATGAGCTTTGGGCTGCCGGAGCCCCTCTGACCTGCCTGTGCACAGCCTGATGGTGGGAGGGGTTGCAAGGCAAGCCCTTCTGATTTGGTCAGGACAGCTCAGAGGTGTGAATCACATTTGAGTTTGCCTGTAGGATCCAGTGGAAGCATCCTTTGCAGGGTTTTGCCTGAGACTGCACCCCTCTATTCTCTTTCCTGTCCCACTTATCTTACTCCATCTCCCACGGGGGAGCACATTTTTAATAAATTTCTCCCGCATAAATATGCCTCTGAAGGCTGACAGTATGGACGGTGGGCCTCTGGATGTAGGTCACATCAGGTAGCTACAAGAACCCATTCAGAGATGATGAGTACACATACATACCAGGTCATCCTGCATTGCTTCTGGCTGCTGATAGATAGGACAGGATATCGGGCAGGAGGGATGCCCTGACTCATTCAGTACCTTGGGCACTTGAGATAAACAGAAATGGTTATTGTAAGGCCTTTGTGGAATAGGTTGGTTTTGCTGAGCACAGTTAACGCCATGATGAAGGAAAATGGGAGTTTGGTTCTACAGTTATCAACTAAAGGCAGAGGGACAGTCAGATGCCTCCTCCTCTCATTTCCTTCAGTCAAGGGCAGGTTACTGAAGACCAGGTAAAAAGCCTGATGCCAGAGAAGGCTGGTCTAGACCCACGTCAGGGTCCTGATATGGAAGGAGTGGGACCTTCCGGCTTGGATTAGGGATGCTTGGGTGATGTGGTTAAGAACACTGAGTCCTCATTCCCCTCCAACCCTCTGAGCCTGCTAACGTGGCCCATTTTCCCTTGTTAGAGATAGCAGCTGTGCCCCCCACCTCACCTGAAGACCATACAGAGGTCTCACTGAGGCTGATGTCTTGTAGGCAATGCTGTCCTCACTGAGGCCGGCCCTCCCTCCCTCCCTGGCCACTATACCTATAGTGAAGTTCTAGTCCCAGTTTGGTCTGGCTGGGGGACTGTTGGCTCTGAAGGGAGGAAAGGGATTATTCACCAAAGGAGTTGCAAGACTTGACTATGGGCCTCCAGGAACTGCAGTATCCAACTGGGGACGGATACTCCCTTTGCTAAGGAAATAAGGAATATGCAGGCGAGGGGGAACTGGCCTCGCCAGGAGCTCAGCAGTGACTGTTCTCCAGGGGTAGACCAGGGCTGACACTGAAGGTGGTGCCATGGAACTGGAATCCTGCTTATCAATGGAGACAGCAGGATCCTGGAGCAGCAGTGGCCACCTGTGGTACTTAGACCCCAGGGACAACATGGACGTAATTACAGAAATGGACTAAAGGTTGAAATGGCCACCAGGAGGCTCAGACCCAAGGGAGTCTATGGTGATAAATAATAGCCCATGCTGTTCCCAGAGGTAGAGAGATGGGCAGCAAACGAGGGTATTGCTTGATTTATACTTCCCCCCCAAAAGATCAAGTGGTGACAAGGCCATTGTCAGCTTCCCCAATGGACAGTCCTGATCTCTTTCCTAGTTTCCAGATCTAAGCCAGTTCTTAGATCCAGAGCCCACTGATCACAGGGGAAGTCGGGTTCCCCAAGGAAGAACTTTATAGCCCACTGTGTATGGTCTGTGTGGACAACAGTGATTTCTCAACCCTTGCCCAATTGGGCCTAGAGCCATTTACATGAGTAAAATTCACTGAGGAGATGGGTTTTACCCAGATCTTTCAATGAGAAGTTCTGGGTCCACAGGGCTGAAGATCTGAAAACTCACCCCATTAGACCAGCCCCTAGACCAGCAGAAATGGTAAGGGTAGGGAATCTAGAATGGGGTGTTAGGGGATATGAGGAGTATCAGTTATGGCCTTGGGGCCCACTGCAGCAGTAAGGGCTCTAGATGATAAGTGTTCCATACCCCGGGTGCAGTCAAAGCGAGGAGACATGAGTGAACTGTGTGGAGTAAGACGTGGCCTGAAACAAATACTGATTCCCTGTCCACATTTCTTTGGAAGGATCCTTTGACGGATGTGTGTGGTCACACCTAGGACCCTGGCTTCCAGCGCCAATGCCCACAGCTCTTCTTCCACATAGGCAAAGAGGGGGAAAGTGCCTGAGAATAGATGTTCTCAGAGTGTCCCTCAGCCAAACTCTACAGTGTAGGCATGGGGAAGCCAAGCTCCCTTACCTGAGGTTGGAGGACTCTGAGGCTCCAGGATGGGATCAGATAGGTTCCCTCTGTGGGACTTTGAGCTCTTCATCCTTCCTCCCCTTTGGAGTCCTGAATCTTCCCCTGGCTATCATGGCTTCCCTAGCTGCATTTCCTTGATTAATTTTTTGTGCACAAATGATCTTCTATGGTTTTTTTCTGGGAAATTTGACTTAAGATAAGAGGATGGGGTAGATGGGCAAAGCCTTGTTTTAGAAGGGAGAAGAAGAGCCTGAGCTTGTTCCAGGAGAAGACCAGGAAAACCGTAGGTCTAAAGGGCATTTGCTGAAGAGCTTCCAGCCAGGTGGGAGTGGGAGACAGAAATAAATGATCATGCAATGTGATCAGCTGTGGGGACAGAGCAACTGGCTCTGCTGCAGGGAGCCAAGTGGTCTCCTAGGAGCATCTCGACAGATCAGAGGTATTTGCAAGGTGAGGACAGGAGAGACTGGGTGTGGGGAAGGCATTTCAGACAGAAGTCACACTATGTTCAAAGGGTCACAGCCAGAGAAGAGCCTGGTGTGGCTAACAGTGGCCTGGAGGTAGGTACTATGGGGAGATAGGTGATGGAATGAAGGCGTGAGCTAAGCAGGAGCTAGATTTTGTGGACACACTTTTTTTTTTTTTTTAAAGAAGTTAGTGGGGACTAGCAGTTAGTGTAATGGCTATGTCGTTGAACTCCCATGTAGCTGACCACGGTTTGAGTCCCGGACCCGGTGGCTTAAACCCACACTGGGCACGTGTGCGTGCATGCCCAAGATCTCGAGAGGAGAAAGGATTGCGGCGTGGCCATCCCCCCCCCCAGGGATGATTTCTCGCTTTCTGTCTTTCTGTCTCTCTCTGTCTTTCTGGCAAGCACACACTCCCTATAGCAAAAACCTCTTAAAAAAGAAAGA